TCCAATTCATCTTAATATCATAATCTTGATATTAACTAAATGATTGTCATTAATTTCCAACTGTGTTCATTATTAATCCAATGATTATCAATATTAAAAGTGATTAGTTTTTTGACTATTTTTATTATTATTATTATATTTTAACTGTTATCATAATGATGATGATCATTATTGGTGATTTCTTGTTGATTGTTGATTGTTGATCACATTCAACTAATTGCAAAGTCAATTGTTAGCCATGGTTCATTACTCTAATGTTATATAAAAAAAGATATTGTCTTTTTTTCACCAAATTTAAGTATATTTAGTTTGATATTGTTACTATTTCATCAGATTTTGCGGTTTTATCATGATCATTTTTTGCTATTTTATTTTGTTTGTTTAGTTTCATTTCTTATAAAAAAGCATCGTCATTGATGATTAAGTTTGATTATTAATATTGGTAAAAGTAAACTGAAAAAATTACTTCAATTACTTTATCATCAATGAACAGCGTGAAAAAAGTTTGAAATTAGCGAGTCACTATGATTTTCCTCCTCCTTCTCGTCTTCCTCTACCATTTTATCATCATCATCTTCTTCTTCTTCTTCATCATCATCATCTCTCTATTTCTTTCTTCATTTCGTCCGATTTTCAATTTCTTTAAGAGAATAATCAAATTGTCCATTTCATGGTCATTAAGCCTTTCCGAGTAATTAGTTTGTTTGGATTATGATGATTGGTTAATATTATATTTGTTTTAATACTTAATTTGATTATTTCATTTTTCATTGGTTTGTTTTCATTTCAGAATTGGCTGCTGATCAATCTGGAAGTAATTTAAATGAGACAAAGGAACCTGAATCGATTGCTTCTGGTTCCGGTTTAAGTAAAGATGAAATTCAGGGGAAAATTAATTCACAAGTTACAAATGAAGAAAAGGATAAAAACGATCAATCCAAGAAGAAGAAAAATAAAAGATCAAAGCAAGAATCGTCTTCTCCTGGTGATGAGGTTAAACCGGACGAGAAAAGTGAAGTTTCCAATCCTGTTGAAAGTTCCAATTTAGATAGTATCCTTGATCAAGCGGCGATCGAAATTCGTGAACTTGAAATACGAGCTCAAGCGATTCGTGAGTTACTCAAGAAACATGAAGACGCCGATAATAAACCGGACCAAACGAACGCAGAGAATCAAAAAGAATCTCGAAAACGACCGAGAATCAATTCAACTACTCATGACGAAAGTACAAATGTACAGAAAGATAAAAGTTCCAATGATAAATCGAAAGTAGTGTCAATCAATATGCCATCACAAAAAGCAATGGAACAAAGATCAAAAGAAGTCCCTTCGAAAACACCGGCCACTTCCCGTTTATCTCGAAATCCAGTTTCCATGGTGGAAGAAGATGAATCAGATAATTTACCGACTTCATCGACCAGCGATACAAATTCAAAGCGAACAAGAAAACGAACTTCCGATGAATCGAACATGATGATCCAATTAAATAATGACAGCGACGATTCCATCGATAGGGAATTAAAAGGAGAATAGATTAACTCGAAAGTACAATCATTAAATGGCAGAATTAAACTATCATCATCATCTCATGGAACCAGAACAGTTAATTTGATTAGCTTACCACCGCAGCTTTTAATCAATTGTTTAAATATTGAACATTAATTTTTGTTGAAAAAAAACTTCCACATATAAAAATTAATATGCTCAAAATTTACTCTGTAAATATTTACCAATATTTGTATCATAAGAAAAAGGAAATGGAAACGAGGTAAACACTATTAATATAACGGTAAATTTTGTCTTAAAAAATTACCTAATTAATGGCTTATAATTAATTAATCAACTACTCCTACAATTGACTGTAAGTTATTACCATTAAAGCTGAGCAAAAAGTTTAATCAATTTGAATGTTTAATTGAATTAAATGAAACCAAATCTACATAAAGATGAGCATAAGAAAAACTTATCAGATGAACAATGAACTTATATTAATTTATTTACATTTAAATCAAATGAAATTGATTAACCTTTTTTTTTATTGTATAAAGACTTGAGATTATTGATTAATTGAATCAATTGTAAAGCAATTAACAATTCACCAGATGATGACATTGATTGATATGCGGGTTAATGATGATGATAATTAACATAAATGATGATCAGCTGAGAGGCAAAAATTTGAAATTGAGAAAACATTTTGTCATGTTAACCATTTCTTGAGATGATAATACAAAATGACACATGGTGTTTCAATTTTCAGCTGATCATCATGATGATAATCATGATAAAATACAAGATGAAACTGAAATAGTGAAAAAAAAACTAAAACCGTAATGATAATGAAAAAAGTTGTTGACAGGATGAAATAAAATGATGATGATAAACATAAATTGTAAATCAATGATAATGATTTTGATGATTACATTGATGATTAAATTATAATAATGATGGAGACTTAATCTGAGTGAAATAAATCAACAAGTAAATTTGTAAAAGTTAATCATGATCAAGGCTAAAAAGTTAACCACACATTTTGATTCAGATTAATTTAGCTTCATGTTGTTGTTTATGATGATATTTTCCTGCATCATGTTAATTTATTTTCAGGTTAAATTTAATTCATTTTGATTAAACAACTCAAACAACAATTAACATAATCATCATCATTACAATTGAATCAAATTGATATTTTCACCTGCGCCTCAATTGGGAATGAATCAAATACAAGAAAAAATCAACAATGAAACTTTGATCAACTCTCATGATTTGTTTGATTTCTTATAATCAATATTGAAAAATATACACATACACACACACAATGGTGATGATTTACTGATTGTTGTTGATTAACTTACTTTTTTTATATTTTATTTTCACTTTTTTTTAACAAACTCATGGTGATGATGCAGATTATTAGGTTTATCATTTATTTATCATTATTTATGTTGAAAAGTTTCAACATGATGTGATTACTATATTATGAAAACAATCAAGTATCAACAACTATTTTTAAAACCAGAAATCAGTTTCAGGAATTAGTAATCAGGATTGATTCCGTTGATTAGTCTGTGTGTTGAAAGATCAGCAGAAATCAACAACACGTTTCCCTGAATTTATCATAACTTTTTTTTCAAACATGTAATTTAAGATGATGAGGATGAAGATGAAGATGAAGGTGAGGATGAGGATGAGGATGGAGATGGAGATGAGGATGAGGATGATGACTAGTGAAAAATATCAGAGTGATTTCTGTGTGTTATTATTAATTTTTCATCGATCTTTAATCTTAATCATCTCACCTAATGATCAGAATTAGCGATTGACAGATTATTATTATTATCGTAAACTCTTATTTAACTTAATTATTATTACATATCCGGGTTTAAATATCTGTGTTAAATGTTGTTAAAAACTCAACTGTTGTTGACAGTTTGATAAAAATTAATAAATTGTTAATCCTAATTGTGTTTTATTGATTGTTGTTGATTTAGTTTATCATTTCAAATGTTAAGTGGTTTTAACTTTAACGATTTTTTTTTATTTCAACATTTTTATTTCTCATTTATTATTATTATTATCATTTGTTTGTTTCTCAATGATTAGATTAAATCAGTTGATCTAAATTGTAATTAATTGATTGAGTTTCTTGTAATTTCACGTGGATTGATTTCAAGTATTTAATTAATTGGAACACCAAAGTAATTAACTTTTTGTTTGCTATCATTATTGATACAATTTATTGTGATTTATAAATTGTTATCTGTGTTAATTTTATGGTTTACAAATTGTTGTCTCTCAATTAACTGATAAAAGTTTTGCTAATTATAATTAGTATTATTTATATACAAATATTAAATCAGTTTCACCTTAATTGTGGTTTATTTGATTATCAATAATAATATATTTCTGCGTAAATGTTTACACAATAATTAAATTAAATTGATTAGATTATTGGTTTTATCTAATTTTGTATTTTCAAGTTTTACTATCATTGGTTAATTGTAATGATTAAGTGTTGACACTAGATATTAAATTAACTGATGAAAACCTTGGTGGAAACTTATAATTGTTGTATCATTAACATTAACCAATTAACATTTTAATTGTAACAATTATAACCATTTGTTATTGATTTAATTGAAACTGATTCATGTGAGGTAACAAAAAGGTAAATGTAATTAAAATTAATTGATTGAAAACTAATTTAACTGATCACAGAACTTAAAGTTTCATTTGATTTTTGAAAAATCAGACTAATTAAATCAATGGAAGGACAAATTAATTGTTATGATGTTTTGATTTATGATTAAGTTTTAAATGTAACAGCTGATTGGAAGCATATTGATGAATGTTAATTGTAAACAATTTTCTCATCGCAATTGATTCATATTAATTCATTTAATTATTTCATTTTGTATTCGCTTGTTAATAATAATTAGTAATCATAAAAAATTGATTGATCATTTTCTGTCATCACCGTCAATCGATTTGCTGATCAACTGTGGTAACTCAATGTGGGTGGTAATTGTTTCCCCACAACAATCAATCAATTGATTAATTGTTGTGTTTTTCAATTGTTCTGTTTGATTATTTGATGACTTTACAGTTAAACAATTGTGATTGTAAACTGGAAAAGCATAATAACCCAATTAGAATCAACTGGTTTGACCAATTTATTGGATCAATCAACTATTCATAGTATTTAATTTGATTAATTTTTCTTTACTAATTATTTATGCTCATTAAATAATCGTAAAGTTAAACAATTAACTCATCAATTGAATTGATTTAGTTTTTTTTTCGCTTCATTGATCAGCTTTCAAATTACTCGAATCTCAATTTTCAACATCACATAAATTTTCAAGGTTTAACTAATTGGCTAATTGATTCTGTCTCGTCTTGATTGTTACAATCGAGGAAAAAGTTACAAAAAGAACTGAATTGAACTGATTGTCACGAGAATCTAGTTAATTTAGTTTTGAAATGTTTTGGTCTATAAGTATGAGGTTCCGGATAATGGATAAAAGCTTTAATCTTAATCGAAAAAGTTAACATAAATCTGGATAAATATCAAGGTTAAATTAGATTTTTAATCATCTGATTGTGATTAATATGATCTTCCAAAAAGAGTGTAAAATTGTGGTTTCCCTTTACAATGAGGATTAATGCATTTCATTGAGACATCAATTTCCTTGGGCTGATCGAAAGGTATACAAAGTGATTTAGCTCCCATTAAAGGTCCACTAGAATCACTTTGATCAACTTTAGAGCTGTTCTTTTTAATTGTTTCCTCGCAAACTGGTTCACCGCAAAATGGAGCAATCAACAAACACTTTTCGTCTAATTTACTGAGAAAAGATTCCCATTCAGTTACCACGGCTAAATGATCATCTCGATTCTTCTTGGCTGCTTCGAACAGATTTGTGTGCATATCATTTAGCAATTTACTAATCTCTTTAGTAGCATTGTCTAAATTGAAAGTAACTTTATCACCAGTATCTCGACGAGCGACAACAAACTGTTTCTTGACCAAGTCTTTGGGACCTAATTCAATTCTAATTGGAACTCCTTTCAATTCCCAATGATTGAATTTCCATCCAGGCGAATAATGTTCGTTAAGGTCACATTTTGATCTAATTTTGGCTGAAACAAGCGACGAGTTTAATTTATTACATTCGTCCATCAATTTACTTTTATCTTCTTCGCTTGTTGTCGCTGTGATTCCACAAGGCACAATTACTACTTGATATGGAGCAATATTAGGAGGTAAGACGAGCCCTTTGTCATCCGAATGAACCATAATCATCACTCCGATTGATCGAGTTGTAAGGCCCCATGAATTCTGATAAGCGTATCGCTTTTTACCGGCTTCATTTGGATCTTCGAATATAATGTCGAACATTTTACTGAAATTCTGACCCAAATGATGAGAAGTTGCTGCTTGGATTCCTCGACCATTAGATCCAATGTATCCTTCGATAGTTGTAGTGAAATCGCCACCAGCAAACTTTTCCTTTTCTGTTTTCTTTCCCTTAATCACCGGAACTGCGAGAAGATGTTCATATACTGCTGTATATAAATCGAGAACTTGATGAACTTCCTTAACTGCGTCTTCTTTTTCAGCATGAGCTGTGTGACCTTCTTGCCATAAGAATTCACGAGTTCGTAAGAAAGGAGTTGGATTCTTGAATTCCCATCGAACTACATTACACCATTGGTTCACTTTGATTGGTAAACTACGATGAGATTGACACCATTTGGCAAACGAGGGATACATGACAGTTTCTGATGTTGGACGGATGGCAATTGGTTCGGCTAACTCGGATTGTCCTGATTTGGTTACCCAGGCCACTTCAGGGGCAAAATCCTCAATATGAGTTTTCTCCTTTTCCAAAGCCGATTGAGAGACAAACATTGGAAAGTAAACATTTTCCACTCCAAGAGATTTGATTCCATCGTCTAAATATTTCTGAATCATTTCCCAAATCGCAAATGCCCAAGGACGTAAAATGTAACATCCACTGACATCATAATATTCAATCATTTCTGATTTAGTAATTACTTCAGTGTACCAATCGGCCAGATTTTCATTCTTTCCAACTTCGATTCCAAGTCGAGTTTGTTTCTTGGATCCACCAACATTTGATTTATCTTCCGTTTTGACAGTTTCTTTCTTAGGTGCACACTTTTTATTTTCTTTTAAAGTCTTTTGTTTACTTTCACTTTTAGCCGTTTCTTTCTTTACTGGTGCCGGTGTTGGTTTTGGCTCTGTAACTGGTACCCAATCATTTCCAGTTACTGTTTTATATTTCGCTTTTAGTTCGAGTAAACTTTTAACTTTGTCTTGGATAATTTGTTTATCTGCTTTTTCGGCCTTCAATTGTCTAATCGTATCACCAACTTTCTTGATTTCATCATTCAATTTATCAGCTTCACTTGATGGCACATTTGATGTAGTAACTTTTGGTGTTGGAGCTGCTGGAGCCGATGGTGGAGCTGATGATGGAGTCCATTCATTTCCAGTCAAGTTTTTATATTTTGATTTCAAATCTAATAATATGTTAACATTGTCTTGAATAACTTGTTTATCGGCTTTTGATGATTTTAATTGTCTGATTTTATCACCGATCTCTTTGATTCCTTGTAATAGACTTGATTCATCATTTGGAGCGGAAGAAGAAACCGGTTGAGGTGTTGAAGGAACAGTCGGTGTTGTGGTTGTTGTCGTCGTAGTGTTTGGAGTCCATTCACTTCCAGTCACTTCTTTGAATTTACTTTTTAAAGCGAGTAAACTTTTAACTTTATCTTGGATAATTTGTTTATCTGCTTTGTCTGCTTTTAATTGTCTAATCGAATCACCGACTTGTTTGATTTCTTCATTTAATTTATCTGCTTCATTAGCTGAAGACGTTGGAGCAACTTGGTTAGCTGGTTGAGGGACCCATTCAGTTCCAGTTAATTGTTTGTATCTCGTCTTGAGATCCAACAGAATTTGAACATTTTCCTGGATAACCTTTTTATCCGCTTTCTCACTTTTCAATTGTCTTATATTATCCCCGACAGTTTTAATTCCTTGATTAACTTTACTGATATCATTTTCTTTGTCATTACTATCACCACTTACAACGGTTGGATTTGATTTGACCATTGGTTTCGATTCAGATTTCGGTTCAGATTTTGGTGGTGGAGGAGAAACATAATCTTTGCCAGTGATTGATTTGAATCTCTCTTTCATCAAGAGTAGAATTTTCAGATTTTCCTGGATAATCTTTGTATCTGCATTCGAAGATTTGAGTAGACGGATATTCTCGCCAATCACTTTAAGCGCTTGAACGACACAACCGAGTTCACTTGATGGATCAATTTCATCGTAGTTCATATGAGGCTTTTCCGCTTCTTTTTTGGCACTTTCACCTTTTTTGCTCTTTCCTTTTGGAACATCCTGAGCTAATTTAACACTTTCTTCACGGATCTTCTTCTTCCATTCTTGAATTTCCAATGGGTAAATATTAAGATCGGTGGTTCCATCGGGAATCGAGATTAAATGAGCAGGTTTCGCTTTACCAATGTGAGGAATCGTCTTCTCATCATATTCACTATCAACGATGAAATATCCTCGTTTTAAGAATTGGAATATTTTTCCTTTCTTTTGCTCGGATAAAAATGTATCAGAAACTAGGAAATCAACAATTCTGACATTATCTTTGTTGATAAAATCTTTGAAATCATCATCTTTTCCCAAACATGATTTGATCAAAAGATGTTCATAGTAAATAAACTTTGCTTTCACTGAAGTTTCTCCTTTAAGCCAAGCGATTTTCAATGTTTTCTTGAAATCTTTGTCTCCCAATGCTAATTTACCATCGATGGAAATGACTTTTCCTTCACCACTTTTAGTAATTTTGGAAACAATTATGTTACCCCAACCCATCAGCGTTACTTTATCACCTTCTTTCATTTGTTGACCATCAATTTGTTCAATGAGTATCTTTGGTCCAACTGAGACTTTGAGTGTTGGTAAATCAGTTCTCTTAGGATGAGCCGGCATTTCAATTGTTCCATCGACACAATCTAAATTCAATGTGACACAATCTTTTTCTTCAATGGCCATTAGACGAATACAAGTAGCATCGAGAATCTTTCGATTGAAACTCCAAATCTTATCCCAGTCCATAAACACAACTGATCGAGAAGATCCTTGGGCGATGATGAATTGTTTCAATCCTTCAACAGTTAATCCATGACGAAGGATACCTCGAACTGTTGGCATTCGAGGATCATCCCAACCATCAACGATTCCTTGATCCACAAACCAAGTTAACTTTCTCTTGGATAAAACAGTATTCATCATATTTAGACGCGCATATGAGACAATATAAACTTCTCTTAGTCCCATCGCTTTAATGAACCAAGCAAATTGTTCATCTCGATCCTCATATTCAGTTGTTCGTAGTGCATGAGTCACACCTTCTAAACTGTCCACAATTGGACAAGCGAAATCATAAGTAGGATAAACTTTGTATTTGTCACCGGTCTTGGGATGAGCCATTTCTTTGCACCGATAGATTGTTGGATCTCTCATACAACCGTTGTTGGAATTCATGTCAATCTTTGCTCGGACACAACACTTTTTACCAATTTCACTTCCTTTCTTCATCTCGTTCCACAGGTTTAGATTAACATCTACACTGTTGTTACGATTCTTTGACTCGGTTCTTGTCTCTCTCTCACTTTTCATCACATCAGCCGGTGTGTCATCCACGAAAGCCAATCCTCTCTTGATTAGATCCTCACACTTAACCATCATCACCTCAAAATGATCCGAGGTATGGGAACGGATGTCAGGCTGAATTTCCAACAGTTGAACATCTTCCCTGATCACTTGCTCGAAATCCTCTTTCTCTTTCTCAGGATTTGTGTCGTCAAATCGGAAAACCAATTTACCTTTATTAGCCAATTGGTAACGTTGATTAAGAAGAGCAGCTTTTGCATGACCGATGTGAAGATAACCACTCGCTTCAGGAGGAAATCTAACAACAATTTCATCCACATTTCCTGGTAAATCAGTATATTTACCTTCGTCTTTATTATCTGACATGATGTGATCTACCAAATTAAAGACAAATACAATTCAAAAACAAACTCTAACAAATCACAATTTAAAAAATACAACTTGACACGTGGATAAAGAGCTATAATCAAAGAGTGGAGAGAAAGAGACAACACATAACAGAAAAACTATTCTTATTGGCGCCATCTGGCTAATGCTTCATACATTATTTCTCAGGAGTCTTTAGGGGATAAAGTTTAACTTTTTCGCACCTGATAATTTTAAATTTCGTTAATATTACCTGCGAATTAAAAACCTAATTTTGTGTTATTATTGTACATCTTATTACACGGACTAAGTTGATTCCAAAATTATGATATTTCAACAGTTACTTTAGTTGTATTTGTTATTCTTAAAACTGAATTCATTGCGTTGTAATAACTTGGTAAGTTTCTGTAGTAACTTTACTCCACTTTAAAAGATCAAAATTATAATATTATTTTCTACTTTCCTCCTTTTCTCTTTTTTTCATGACAAATCTAATGAGTAAATCAACTTTGGAACTTATCTTCACGGACGACTCAACCCTTGACCATACACCTAAATGCCATACATAACACCTCAATATTCAAAGATGCAAAGCTTGATCACTAACCAATTTCTTTCCATGTAATCAAAGGAAACTAATGAATAAAATGTAATTTTTTTGTAAATCGACCGAATAGTTCGATTGACTGTAATGACGAGTGACTGTAATGTTTGAAGCATTCACCAGGGGTTGTTAATAAAGTTAGGATTACCTGAAGGTCCTAACGTGCACTGAACACAACGTTCAGTTTAGAAGGTTTTGTTTTGTTTAATTTCATTTGAGTTTTAATTTTATATTTGATTAACGTACACGAATAACGAAAATAAAAGTACAATTTAAATAAATAAAGGGTAATTTATTTTTATTTATTTTACAATATCATTTTCCAAGTCGAAAGTTTATTGACTGAGTTTTCCAATCTAATCAATTTATTTTCAATGATAAGATTATCATCGTTTGATGATTGTGATGATGAACACACATTTTTTGAACTCTCGTTCAAAAGGACGAAGTTCATTCAGTTTTCGAAGGCTCGAAGGTCACCAAGCTTCGGTTCTCCTCACAATAATTTTCATCGAAAGATGAACAATATCGTCAATGACGATTGATGGTGATGGGGAAATCGGTTTGACAATTATCCCCGGAGTTGGACATTTAGGAGGATCGTGAGCTTGAGGAAGAACTTGAGGAGGAACTTGAGGAACGGAAACTTGAGGAAAGGACACATCTTCAAGATTTAATGAGAAGAAAAGAAATTGACTTACAATCGACAGTGAAGACATTATTGCTATGATTTAGCTCAAACTTTTAGAACTTTAAGATGAAAATTGATCAGCTCTGATGTAATGATTGAATCTTAGAACTTACATCTGATTGTTCGAAGCTCAAAAATTGGAAACTAACTGTGAATATTGGTTTGAGAAAATCGTAAGAATGATTCAAAAAAATGTTTTGAACTAACTTGATAGAGAAAATCGACATTTTTAAATTTAAATCAACATTTTAAGGATATATATTAGCATAAAATGTTAATCAATGTGGAGATGATAATGATTAAACACTAAATTTATTCTTAGAAACAAATAGATTTTAAGTTTTGGATAAGTTTAAATATTCTATGCTTTTAACAAAATACAGCTTTGTAAAGATAATTTTACTTATTTAAAACAAATCGAAGAGGATAAGAAAGAGCAAGAGAAAGAAAAGAGAAAGACAAAGAGAAGAGAATTATAATCCAAAGGTATATCAACACAACATTTCTCAACCATTCTCGATAACTGCACCTAAAAACCTCTTGGACAAAGGTATCCTTCAACATAAGTAAAATGGTATATTTTCACTTTAACCAATACATATTTTACTCTTTTGGTGGAATATGTTGACGTTAGATCATGAGAACATAAAAAACTTCAGAATTCAGAATCTGATTCAGAATTTCTCATGAATGTTCAAATTTTGTTCAAACTATTTTTCCGTTTTGTATGATTTTTGGCTTTTGACACCTTAACCTCTCATAGACTCCTTGTAGCTTGAGCGTAGTCTTGACCTAAAATTTCGACGAATCTCATTCAAGAATGTAGATTATTTATGTTGTAAATATACAATTACCAATCGAGCAAACGAAAGTCCAACGTAGTTTTGTAAATCTGTTTTTGACTATTGTTGATTGTTAATCTTGACATTTTCATCTATAGAAATGATTTAAATTGGTTTTACGCTTATAATTAATTGTATGGTTAAATTTTGCACATGATCTTTATGGTTCGGTTTACGATCTTGAAGAGCAGATGGTGAACTTTTTCGGATGGATATAATGGAAATAATAGATAATTATTGTATTCAAGCGTTAACAGCGCATCTATATTGTGTTAATTGTATTGTAAATCGTTGTTTCGATTTAATACATATAACGAAATCTATTATTCAGTAAACGTATTAATCTGATCGCAAGTTTGTCAAGCCTCCAAGATGAAGTTTATAGACAACCTAGTGACACCTATCGACGTAGGTAATAGCTGACGTAATGTAAATAAAAATCGTAAACTTTGCTGCAGGTTTAAATATACTATACCTATTATTTATGCTTTTGAAGTATATTCAATGGTTTTTTAAGATCAAGAATTGTTTCATGTGTTCATAATGTTCATAATTTTACCAGAATGATTGCCATAAATGAAGAAAATGTAGTTAATGGTTACAAGATGAATTTAATTGATTAAAATATGGTATAATTATAGTGATAGATACTTGTATGATTATTTAGTTAAAACTGAAAAGCATTACATCATCGAATTGATGAATAAGTGATGAGTAAGAAAGAAAATGATTAAATGAAAACCTTGACTGGAAAATTGAAGTACGCAATAAGTCCAGTATAAATTCAACACATTTTACGGAGATCAGCTTTAGATTAGCTTTGTATTTTGGAAGAAGTTCGGTATAGTTGTGAAGAGAAACACTTTAATTAAAGTATATTTATTAATAATAAAGTTGTAACTTTACCTATGTCTCCATGAAGAAATGGCCGAAAATCGGCCATTATATTGGTGATTAGGAGATTTTCTTCCCTCATCTTCATCTTCTTTTAAAATTAACAATAAGATAACCAGGTACCACGTGAGAGGTGGTACCTGGTTGAACAAAGAAACTGGTCTTGTAACCAGTTTGTTACAGTTCTTCAACATAGAAAGAATCAACGTCCTCGTTGATTTACAATTATTAAGAAATTAATTAATATAAAATTGCCAGCACGGACATTATTTACAAGGTATAAAATTTATAAGATACATTTAAAAAGTATATTTCAGTCTATCAGAATTATCTCATCCTGTTCGTGTTTTATCCAATCTTGTAATGTTTGACCATTTTTAACCATTTCACGCACCACTTCAGCTGTTGGAATATTAATATTTTTCTCCTTGAGTTTTATCAGTTGCATGTAAGCTTTTAACGTCACTCGTGCGTCTCTTTCAGGTGAATGGCTGATTGTTACATGAGAAGTGTCTTCTCTTCTTAATTTTTGATGATCGTGAAATAGAAATTGATCTAAAGACACTAATCCAATTGGTTGTTTACCAGGCCAAAGATCTTGTAGGTCTACATGTTGGATATTATATACCTTAAGTCGATCAGGATTTAATTGTAGTTTTAGTAGATCATCTTTTCCCTGGGTGATTAATCTTCGTCCTCTTGATATTTCTGCCACTTGCATCGAAACTTCGTCCAAACTTAATCCATTGGCCAAATCATTAATTTGTAGTCCAGTGACTCTAGTTAGTGGATTTATTACTTTATCATTTTTTACCTGTGCGTAATAAACTGTTTGAATTCGTATTATATTACCAAACCATCCAGATAAGTGAACACTACCGACGCCACCATGTCCATCACCTTCAATGTCTAAAGCTAATGTCTCTTTCTTGTTTTTTCTTGGTCCAATTGGAACATATTTTTCTAGGTCTTCTGGTATTGGATTATTCATGTTCTTCCAGAAAGGTTTTCCGCCATAGGCTTCTCATAATTTTCTTCGTCTCACTCGTCGTTGTTCTCGTGCATAGGAATATTTTGATGGTTTAGATTGTACAATAGTATTAATATTAACTTGTTGATTAGTTTTAAACGGCAATTCAGGACAATCTTTTCTGAAGTGACCAGGTTCACTACAGTATGAACAGTATTCACAATTTATCTTAGTGTGATTAAAGCGGAAGCATAAGGAGCAATGTTTTTCTGGTAAATCAATAAGATTGATTTTTGTAGAGTTTCTGCTGTTCTGGTAATTTAATTGTCTAGTGTAAGATAATAGGTTTTGGTGAGCAGTTTGTAGTTTATCAGGGTGATTCGCTGTAACTGTTAACTTCGTGAATTTGTTCATCTCTTTTGGGGTACCACATATATCATAATCGGGTGATATTAACTCCGGTCGCCAAACATACATAGTAATTGGTATTTGGTGGCGAAAATTGATAGAATTAGATAACATTTTCTAAATATTGAACTTGGTGAAGTTGGTTTAAACTGACTGTTATAATCTTATTCTTCTTTCGTTGTTTTGATGAGATAAAAAAACCTGGACCTGTATTTTTTAGTTGTAAGTTTTCCATTTTCTTTTGGAAAGCGATTAGCTTTGGATCTGGAGGAGCATTTGTTGCATTCCAATCGTCTTCCATCCTAATTGTAAAATAAAGAAAAGAAAGAAGAAAATTTCAATTATTCATCTACCCCAAATCACCGGAGTTTTGAATAATAAGTATTAAATTACCCATCACCGGGTTAATCGAAATTTTATCATGAATTTGAATTTTAATACCCAATCACCGAGTTAATTAAAATTTTATCATTAGAACCTTGAAAAAACCCAATCACCGGGTGTAAAGAACATTTAAATTAATTGTTTTTATCTCCATCACCGGAGAATTTCGAAAACCTGCCCCAGCACCGGAGCATTGATTTTATTTGTATTAATAACACTGATGTAAAGGTATAATAATGTCCTTATTTTCCTTATTTTCTATTAACTATCACAGAGTTGATTGATCTTTGGATAAGGGTTAATCACAACCAATAACACAACAC